GGGCCCTTGAGGCAGTTGACTTTGCACACTACTCTCACTTCAGTCTTCAAAGGCTACATTTAAAGCTATGTGTACTCATTAAAACAAGGAAGGAAAGTAACTAATCTTACTCTTACACCTTCATATTTACTTTCTTGACATCTGAACAGGCCATTCTTTCCCCCTTTGGTTTGAATACTGCAGATCAGCTACCTATCTGCAATAATTAAGTACCGGCAGTTTTAATCAAAAGCCAGCTCTTACTTTAAAAAGTCCGCTGTGAAATGGCCCACCCATTGTAAGCACTTCACACCACACCATTCCTTACTTTACCGCCCTTCTGCAAATGTGGGGTGTGGGTGGTAGGGTTGGAGAGAATAAAGAGGAATGGTCTAGAGGGGGAAAAAATCATCTACCAGAATCAGCCACTGAAACCTTTTATGGATGTTTCGCCCTGCTTTAAATTCTGACTCAACTTTTACAGTAATCTACATCCTCCGGCACTCGCCTCCTTGCCCAGGCAGATAAAAGGACCTATTCACGGACTGCCTTCCCTTTTACAGACGTTAAACTATCCCGGCCAACCAAGTCGACCATTTTCAGAAGTGCTGGCGGGACGCACATCTGCCGGCAGGGCAGAGATGGGAAGCCTCTGGCCCCACGTCTTGGCGGGGGTCTCGCTGTTTAGGGTAACCCCCTTCCTTCCTTCAAAAGAGGGCGGGGGGCCCGGACCCACGCGGCAGTTCGCACGGGAGAGAAGAGGGGCACGGGGGGCGTGCGAGGCCAGACGCTGAGACCCGGGGTCGCCCCCTCCCCCCGCCGCCCCCCGGAGGAGACGGAGGCTCCCCTCAGAAAGGGCCGCCCGGAGCCCCACCGCCGCGGCTGCGGGTTCTCACCTTTGGTGCCTTGTCCCTTCGGTCTCTGGAGCGGAGGCGACGCAGCGGCGTCGGCGAGGGCGAGACAGGAAGAAAGGGGAAGGGGGAGAGAAGCGATAAGTCATGCGGCGGCAAGAACAGGCCCGGCCGGGAGAGAAGGGAGGGGAGGAAGAAGCCGAGCCCCAGCCTAGGCCGCTCCGACCTGCTGGCGGGAGACGGCGCGGAGGGAGGTCCGGTCCGGCGGGGGTCCGTTTACGAAGGGAGCGACGCGAGGGAAGGAGGAGCGCGAGCCCTGCTCCGTCCGTTTGGCCGCCCCCCGGCTAGGCCTGAAGCCGGGGCCTTTCCCAGCGTTGCCCCCCCCCCCGCCGC